GCACGGGGCCGGCCGCTGGAGACTCGGCCGACCAGACGCCCCAGGGCTGCCCTGCAAAGGTCTACAGGTCTGGCTCGATGGCTCCGGGCACCTTCTGGCTGCCGCTCATGACCTTGAGCCTTTCCCTCTGCTTTGCACGCTTCCTCTCCAGCTTAACAGAAACATGAGCCCAGCGTCTCAGGTGGCAGACAGATCTGGGGCGCACCAGGGCTCTCAGCTACGTCCCCTCCAGCCTCGGGGTCCTCGGCTGGACCGTGAGGATGCCGCACGGGATCACTGGGTTGCCCCCTGCAGATCCGGATGGCACTCCTGGCGGGCAGTGGGACTCGGGGACACCCAGCCGACAGTCACCCTCCTTGCTGGGATTAACCCTGTGCCGGAGGGTCTGGCGAGTTTCTCATGCCTGTGACCAGCCGGAAAGCGAAGGGATGGACATCTTCGCTTCCACTTGCTGCCCAGGGGCCAAGCCGCCTGGACGGTCGGGGGGCCCTGCCATGGGGTGGGCCCTACAGCGGCTGCTTTCAGAGTGTGAGGAACATCTTCAGTGCTCCTTTCAGAGCCAAAAATTGGCTCCTCTGCCTGTCAGCCTGGCTGGCAGTGGCCGTGTATCTAATTCAGTTTAGCTAGTAATTAGTTTTGTATTACTTTCCACGGTGATGTTAATACTGATTACAGGGCCTGATAACTTTAGTAATAAATACAACCCAAGGCAGAAAATTACCTTTCTTTTTACTGGGGAAGGCGGAAGTCAGTGGAATGAGAAGCAAATTGCTCTCCGTGATTTGCCAAGGAGGATTTACAGCTTTGTGCTGTCCTGGTGTCCCAGCGCCTCCCTGCCCTGGGAAGGGGGGGCGGTCCCCTCCCTGCTCCTCTATTGGACCAGCCCTAAGGCGGGAGGGAGCTTACAGACCCTCCTGAAATGCGGTGCGTCATGAACTAACTGGTTCGGGGAAAGACCACAGCGCCTGAGCCCCCCACCTCCCCACCACTACCACTAGCATCCAGTGCAGACGGGGGAGGCCAGGGACAAGGGCAGCTGGACAGGAGGTCAGTGGGCTCATCCGTCCAAGGTTAGACTCCAACAGGTCACAGAACTGGGCTGTTTTATCCTCATTAAATTTGCTCAGGGGAGCGGGTTGTGTCTTCCCCCTGTGGGACAGGCAGAATCTCAGAAGAGAATGGATTTGGTGTGATGGGTCCCAGCAGGGTTCTAAGGGACTAACCCCACCCCAGCTGTCCTGTCCGTGCATGGAGCCCACCCACACCTCCCCCAGGGGAGTTGGCTTTGCTCACATCTGGACTCGGGCTCCTGGAGCGGCCCTGACAAGCACAAAGACACTCAGCCCTCGAGTTCACGGTTCACAGCTGGAAGCCCTTCAGGGTGTGGGGGCGAGGCTTGACGTCCTTAAGAAAGGCCGAGCCTGGCTACAGACAGGAGCCCTGCTTCTCTGTTAGAATAAATTGGATTCCTCCACACACCCTTGCTCCTGCGAGGTCAGCCTCCACGGGGAGCCCCCTCCGCCCCTGCTGCCGCCTGCCCCCTGCCCCGGCTCACTGCTCGGACCGGACCACGGGCTGGCACATCGCCTGCTCCGACCCCAGAGCCCTGGGTGCACACACTCTCCTGCCTCTTACACAAACCATTACGGCAGAGCCTTGGGTCTTCCCACGAAGCTTGTCAGCCCAGACGCCAGACCACAGGGCTTGGACATGCTCTGCACCGCGAGCCTGGTCTGACTGTGCCAAACCCCACCGGCTGGCCTTGGAGAACAGCCCGGGGGCGGGTTAGCGACGGGGCAGGACGGGGTCTGGTCGGGGGCCGACGTCTTTGAGAGGCATCCCGTTTTTAAAAGGTGGAAGTTCATACTAAGAGGCTAAGGGCTTTTCTCAAGGTCACCCCAATGGCGCCTGGTATAAGTAAGGGCAGCCGAGTCAAGTCGTTACTATAGAGCCCCCACTCATTTCACACCTTCCTATGCAGACAGCATGCCCCTATTGCTGGACCAGATGGGCCTGGGGCTCAGGTAGCCCCAGCTGCCCCCTCCCCCAGGACAGAGGGGTCAGCTCCCCCACACCCAGCCTCCCCCAGGACAGAGGGGTCAGCTCCCCCAAAACCCAGTCTCTCCCAGGACAGAGAGGACAGCTCCCCTGCACCCAGCCTCCCCCAGGACAGAGGGGCCAGGCCCCCCACACCCAGTCTCCCCCAGGACGGAAGGGTCAGCTCCCCCGCACCCACGGGAAACTCCTAAGGCACTTCTCAAGGAGCGGGAAGCGCCAGCCATTGGTTGGAAATCGAAGAACGAGACCAAGTCAGGAGTCTCTCCGACTGAGGACAGGGTTCATGGGGCCCACCCGCCTGGCAGGCAGTGAGCCGTCCATCACTGGCTGGCACTGGACCGAGCGGCTTATCATACGCGCTGTGGGGGGACAGATGGCGCGGCCGTGTGCTGCTCTCCCCCGCCCCGCCCCTCGCTTCCTTCTGGCCGCACACGTGAAGCGCAGGTATGAGCCTCGCCTTTCTGACGCGTTCCCACTTGAACGCGGGCTGACCCCTATCATGACGGCCCTGGAGCCTTGCGTGCAGAGCTCTGGAAGGGTCTCCAAAGGGAGGGTGCGGCCGTGGGAGTGACTTAGACAATGGGAGAGGAGCAGGACAGGCGAGGGAGACAGACCCCGCAGGGCTCAGCCTCCAGTGCTCGGCTCTCTGTTGGCTGATTTGAGGGGTTCACCAGCATTCGGAGCTTTGTGCACGAGGCCGCGAGGTGTGGCTTCCCAGGGTTGAATCACTTCAGGATCAAGAAAGCAAGACTCTTGAGTGTGGATGTCCCCATGCAGCTCTCAATTCCAAACAGCCTGGTTCTGGCCCCCACCCGCTCCCCTCTCTGCTCCCCACCTTAGAGGCTACTGATTAAGGGGACAGGCCCCTGGCCCAGCCCCCATGGCACGGGGGCTCCTGCCACCAGGGCAGGACCAGGTCGAGGGGCTCTCTGGAGCTGCTGGCCACTCGCAGAACCTTTCTAGACTAGGAACAATCCTAGTGATTTAAGCTGGTTGAGTCTTTGTTCTAAAATCCCACCCCAGTTCAGGACAATAGGCCTCCACCAGACAAAACTCTGATAGCCCAACCCCAGAGGCAGCCCCAGGAGGGTGGGGCCGTGCCTCCGGGCTGCCCTGAGGGACACGGTTCCCCAGAGACATCCATCCTCCATCCGTAGCTCCGCATCAGAAACAGGAAAACAACACCATTCCCTTGGCTGGTGCAGAGGGGCAGGGGCCGGGAGCTGACCTGGGTCTGGAAGGGGGACCTGTTTGCAGGAGGAGAGGCAGGTGTGTGGGCAGCGGCTGGCTGACCCTCGGCAGGGGGGAGGGGGAGGGGGCGGGGGCGGGGGGGGTGGCACGACCATCAGACCATCAAACACTTTGGCCACCAACACAAAGCTTCCAATTGAAGCGGAACGGAAAGTTTCTTCCCAGAACAGGGGATCTTTAAAAAGATCGGGAGGAGGAGACCGCCGGAGTACAGCCGTCAGTGGTCAGGGTGCCTGGAATCGAGAAGGCCACCGAGGCTCGGAGGGCCCTCAGGACAGCCCCTTCGGGGGCCCTGGGGAGCTAGTTATCTCTTTCCCAAAATTGGCACATGCTGCCAATCACCCCTGCCCGGCTCCCTCCGCCCGTGTGTGCCCGTGTGTGTGAGTGCGTGTGCATGCACGTGCATACGTGCAAAGGTCTCCATCCACGGCGCACAAGCCCTCCGGCTGGGCTCTCCCCGCGCCAAGAAAACTTCTCTCCCGGAGACTGTGCAGAGTCTCTCCAGGGAAGCCGACTATCTGGGGGCACCAGGGAAGGGGTCTCCAAGGGCAGTGGGAGCAAGAGAAACCTCCCCCCGCCTTCCTGAGCAGAGCCAGGGAGCCGGCAAGGGCTTCAAGGCGGGACAAGGGAAGCTTGTTCCAGAGCCTTCTCTCCTGTGATCCACCTCTCGGCCTCTTTGTTTCCTCTTTTACCCTGAGATGGAGGGAGACAGAGGGAGGAAAGGAGGACCAGGGGCAGCTGGGGCTTGTGGCCAAGGTGTGGGGCCGCCCGTCCACCTCCTGGACCTGCAGCTCCGAGGGGCCAGCATCCCTCAGCTCCAAGCGTGGCACAGTGGCACCATCGAAAGGGCGTTTTAATGTCACTCCTGAGCAGCCAGGCTCCTGAAGCTGGCAGCCTCAACCCAGCACCCCGGTGCCAAAGCAACACCCCCATTCCAGTGCTCTCAGTCGACCATTCTCCTCCTCCCAGCCCTACCAGCTCAGAAATGGATTTTTTAAAATGGAGAATGCCAGCCAGACACAGGCTTTCTACTGACACATTGTTCAGGGGATGGCAAGCCCGCTTCAAATGCCCAGCAGTCCCCACACACGCACACGGCGGCTTGCCACTCACACTTCCTGCCGCGCATGTGGTCACAACCCACCCACCCCAGGCTCCGCGCGGAGCCCACAATGCGCCCAGCCCGGCACGCACTGTCTGGCCTCCCGGGCACAATTGCCCCCACCACCTGCTTGGGGACCCCCAAGGGCAGTGTTCTCCCCAAAGGCAGAGATGCTCTGTAGCAGGGGTGTGGGGGTGGGACTCAGAGCTACCTCTGGAAACGCCAGGAGCTTGGACACCTTGCCCGGCAACCTCTCCCTCCCCCCAGATGACAGTAGCAGCTGGAGGAGCCCCTCAAGCTGCCCTTTGAACTTCTGGGGGAGTGGGAGGCTGGGGGTCCTGAGAGAGAGGGGGCAGCCTCACAGCCGCTCAGGGCCGGGGCTGGGGGTTCGGGAGGTGGGGACGCGCAGCAGTCTGGGGTCGGCCCCACCCCTCCCTCCAAGCCCGGCGCGCTGCCCTCGGGCCCCCTCCCCAGCCAGGCGCCAAGCTGCCAGCCAGCCGCTCCGGACTTGCCGGTCCCCGAGCGCGCTGGGCGGCCGCCGCGCTCCCTCACTCGCTCGCGGGGAGGAAAATGGCGTTGGATGCACGTACTTGAGTGAGTTCCGTGCCCATCAGGACGAGGAAGAGGAGGCTGAGGAGCTTCCGGGCCGGTTGCATGTCTCGCTGCCACCGCCGCCGTCCTGGCATGCAGGAGCCCTGGTGCTGGCGCCGGCGCTGCGTGGACGCGGACGCGCTCCCGGCTCTGCTGGCCCCGCGCCTTCAGCACCCCGAGCCTCCGCTCTGCATGGCGAGCGCGTCCTGCGCGCTGTCCCCGCTGTCCCCGGGCGGGGCGCGGCCCTCCGCGGCCCCTCCTCCTGCGTTCCCCCACCCGCTCCGGCGCGCCTGGGCGGGGGTGCCAAAAGTTTGCGAGGAAGGCGGCCGGGTGGCGCAGAGGGACCCGCGCGCCACGCTCACGCGCGGGAGTGGGGAGGGCGGCGGCGGGGAAGCAGGCTGGGACAGGATGTGACATCAAAAAGGCGGGGGAAATTTAACTCGGGAGAGAAGAGTCCATCCTGGCTGGCTGGGGCCGCGGGGGCTCTGGACTCCAGCGATCTGGGAGGGGGGTGGCAGGGGGCGGGGCTGGGAGCAGCCGCCAGGGAGGGTCTGGCCTGCCCGCCCTGCCCCGGGGGAAGCTCGACATCTCATCTCCAGGAGGTACTGAGACTGAAGGTGAACGTGTCCTTAGGTGTCAGCGCTTCATGAGACGATACACTGACGCTCAGACCCTGGAAGGGGGTCTCAAGGCAGGCAGGGCTAGCAAGCAGGTCATCTGGCACTGGGGCGGGCCTTCTTCCTGTCCTCCTTGGGTGGTCAGCATGGGGGCGCAGAAGCTGTCCTGGGGCTGCGTGTGGGTGAGGATCTGTCCTTGTGTTTGTGGTTAGTGTCCATACATGTGGGGGCAGGTGCACACAGGCCTGGAAGGGGCCCCCAGGGGTCTGCATTGTGTTGTCCTTCCTGTCACCGGACGCTGTCCTCTTACATGTACTCCCTGCTGGAGATGCAAGTCTTAGACCAGGGCAGCTTGTCCTGGGGTTCCCACTTCCCATTTAAACCCCTTTCTGGGGACAAAAGTCCCCAAGCACCTGTTTTCTGAGAAGCTCAGGTGATGAGAGATGCTTAGACACATGTCTCTCTTCTCCATGGTTCGGTGCGTAGCTGTCGGAAAGTGCACTCTGGGAAGAGGGCTGCCAGCGGCGAGTGGGATGGCTCGAGCTTCTCCCATCACAGGCGGGGAACCGGGAGCCCTGGTGGGGGTAACAGCATGTCACCCGAGGAGGGGTAGAGCCAGGATGGGGTGCCAACTCTCAGCCTGTCCCCGTGCTGCCGGGCACTGGAGGAGGCACCCTCTGGGCAGGGGTGCAGGTGGGCTCCGGCACCTTGAGAAGAGAAGGCGGTGGTGGGCTGCCAGGCCTCCGCTCTCTGAGCGGCTCTGCCATGGAGGACCCCTACTCTCTGGGGTCTGCCGTCCAGTGGGGTGGGCCCTGAGAGCCCGAGAGCAGGTGACCCCTGGGAGAAGGGGAGAGGAGCCGCCCCCGGAGCTCTCTGCCACTGCCGCTGCCCGTCCTCCCCCTGCACTGAGGGTTCTCGCTGGCCCGTCAGCCACTGGGGGCCGCTGGGAGAGGCTGCGCGGAGCTGGGGGGCCGGTGTCTTGTCCAGGGAGGGGCTCCAAGCGTTTTGTCCCACACTGCTGTGGGACAGGAATGAATGATGCCGGTACCGGCCCCTTAGGCTGTTGAGAAGACCGAATGCAGGACTGGTACAAACATTTTGTAAACTCGGAAGGACCAGGAGGGAGGTGCTGAGGGTCATGGAGGGCCTTCAGGGCACCGGGCCTGCCACCTGAGCTCCCCTTCTGCTGAGCCTGGAACAGAGGTCTGGACATCTGCGTGCGTGGCACCCCTAACCACAGTGGCCAGAAAACTGAAACGACTCAAGTGTCCCTTGACAGAAGGTGAGTAAGAAGGTAGTGTGTTCGCAGGCTGGGCTGTCACTCAGCTTCCTGCGTTCTGACACGAGCTTGTGGACAGACCTGGAGGACATCGTGCTAAGAGAGGAAAGCCAGACCCAGAAGCAAGGACCCCATAGAATCCACTCCCACCAGGCCAGACCCGGGGGAGTTGGGCCATGGAGACAGAGGGCTGGGGGAGGGGGGAGGGGAGTCTTGTGTTAAGGGGACAGAATGTGTGGGGCGATAAACAAGTCTGGACCTGGAAGGAGGTAACAGGTGCACGACATGGTGAACGTGCTCCGTGCCCCTGAATTAGACACTTAAAAATTGAGAGAAGTTTTGGGACGCCTGGGGTCTCGGTCAGTGGGTCCCCTACCTTCGGCTCAGGTCACAACCCCGGGGTCCTGGGATCAAGCCTCGCATGGGGCTCCCTGCTCAGCACGGAGTCTGCTTCTCCCTCTGCCCCTTTCCTGTTCTTGCTTGTCTGTCCCCTTCCCAAATAAATAGATAAATAATCTTTTAAAAAGTTGTGAAGATTTTAGGGTCCGCATACACACACGCCTAATTTCTTAAATAATAATATACCCCAAACCATTGTATTGTATGCTTCGATGGGTCGATCATGCCGGATGTACTTTATATCTTAGTAAAGCAGGGTTTTTTTTTAAAGTTACATACTCGTTTTTGTATTGCTTTAAGAAAATAAAATGCAAAGAAGAGCATAGCAGCGAGAGCAACAGAAGCCCACGCCCAGAATAACCAGTGTCGTCACTGGGGGCGGCCGTGCAGACACCTGTGTGTGCAGGTGCGCAGGGGAAGGAGACTGCGGAAGTGTAAGACGGTGTCCCCTAAGACCGCGTTCCGAGTCCTGACCTGCCATGTGGACTCGTCAGCCTCCCGGGCCCTGCCCTCCAAGCCCCTTCCTGCCAGCTGGGTGCAGCCCTCGGGCCATGGCGTGGGAGACGCCTGGGACCGTACCTGGCACACACAGGCTCAGCCCTAGAAACTCTCGGGAGAGGCGGGCAGGCGCCGATGTAGAAGGATGAGGTCATCCCCCACGCGCTCTGCAGCCTGGAAGTAGTAGATCGAACTTGAACCTGACAGAAGGACGGGAAACCAAAGCGAAGCCGAAGACATTGGGAACTAGAAGCTCGTTTACCGCCACAGCACAAGCACCGTCTCCCAGAAAATCTGCTAATGAGGAGAAAGAGAAATCCCCGGGGCCCGTGAGCTGTGGAGCTGAACACGCTTCCGGCCCATGCTCCCATCCCGGCCCCATGCGACACGCCCCGGCGTGGACACAGGGCAGGGGTCACTCGCTCTTCCTCTGGCTGCCCTCCTGGCTCTGTGTTTATTTCTAGTGCTTCTGTTATTTTCATGTTTCAGGGTTTACACTGTTCATATCGACCTCCCACATCAAAGTCCCCTTGTGAGGGGCCCCGGGGGGCTCCGTCGGTGAAGCGTCTGCTTCCGGCTCAGGTCACGATCCCGGGGTGCTGGGATCGAGCCCCGCGTCAGGCTCCCTTCTCAGCGAGGAGCCTGCTGCTTCTCCCTCTCCCTCTGCCCCTCCTCCTGCTTAGGCTGCCCCTCCCCCACCTCTCTCTTTCTCTCTGTCAAATAAATAAATAAAACCTTAAAAGAAAAATCCCCTGGCGAGCTGGTCCTAGTTCTGGATTCCAGGGGACCTGGTGCCGGCCCCCCTGCCACCAGCAGTCTCCCCCGGGTTCCGTGCTTTGGTTCACCCCTTTTGGGCTGGCCAAAGTCAGGTGCCAGGTGACCACAGCCAGTGACACTGATACACCTCTCTGCTGGCCCGTGTAGATGCTTGTCTTTCTTCCTACCCTGCCAGCTTTCCCACTTGGGAAACCACGAGGAGCCCCTGAGCTGGGCTGGGACGTGGCCCAGTGGGTGTCGTGCCACAGGCGTCCTGCCCTGGAGCTCCCGCCTTGGAGCGCTTGGGAAGGAGCTGAGCTCCCGCTGAGACCCCTCTGGAAGGCTGAGCGATATGCTTCGTGCTCCTTTAAGACAAGCCTCCTTCCCCTGCCAGCCTCATTACAATGTGACAGAGCGGTTGCCAAGGCAACGGCACTAACTCTCCCCTCTCCTCTCTGCAAATTTCTTAGCAAATGGGGCTGCTCCCACGCAAGGTGTCGGCCGCCTGTGCTCAGAGCCGGCAGGCTGCCCGGCTTCTCCCTCGTCCAGGCGCTGAGCCGAGTGCCCACCTTTCCTTCCCAGCCTCTCCAGGCCCTCGATGACCTCGGATAAACTGACTCCAGACTCCCAGGAGTGACAGGTGTAGATCCAGAGCCCACTATGTGACAGGTGGGCCAGACACAGCCTCCCGGGGTGTGGGCACCAGGCCTGGGGTCACCCATGGCCGACTTCCCTCATCAGCTGCTGGTCTTTGGGGAGGAAAGGGTGCTGGTAGCGCCAGGCCACCCGGCTTCGCTCCTGGACTCGGTGCCTTGTCACTGCTCAGATGCTGGCTATGCCAGCAGAGACCACACCGGTGCCACCATCCTTAGCCCCGTGGGGTGTCCAGCCTGTGCTAAGAGCCATGGAATCGTGGGGCCTCATAGGGGTGGGATGCTCCTGCCCCTTCCCTCTCTTGCAACAGCTTTTCTCCTCCTTGTCCAGCCGGGGTGCTGGGGGGACACCCTGGAGCCACTCTCTGTCTCTGGGGAAGGGCTAAAGAGAGGCCATCCCAGCGCAGGGTCTCTTCTGGTGCTCGCTCCGAGGGTCTGCACAGCCTTTGGTCCTCCTCCCTCCAGCTGCAGCTCGACCCACAGCTCCACCCAAGGACAGAGATGGTTTACTTCCTCTCACATCTGTGCGGAGTCCCTCTTGCACTGACCAGGACCTCCAGTAAATGCCGAGTAGTGGGGACAGCAGGGTCCGTGAGGGGACAGCATTCACCGCGGTGAGCAAGATGTTACCATACCATAGATGTTAGTGTGGACTGAGAAAACGGAAGCACTGGGGTAAGAACAGAACCTCTGATTTGGGTATCGGGACTGGGATTTGGGGGAACAGCCCCACTGGGTCCCGCTGAGGAGTCGAAGGGAGCGGTCTTTATGGGCAAAGTGTGGAAGTGTTAGGAAAGGTACAAGTTGTTTCCAAAAGTGATGACTGGAGACCGAATGACATTTCTCAACCCACAGGTTTCCGGGTGCCCCGTGCCAGTGCCTGGCAAGATGCCCTTTGCGAGGTGCCCAGTTCTCATCAAGAGTGCAGAACCTGAAGTCCCGGGTTTGGTCACACACGCTCACCCGGTTCAGTAGTTCAGTTCCTGTCCCCAAAACGGGATGAAGTTTGGGTCCCAAAACAGAGCCTCACATGCTCAGAAGTTTTCTGTGGGTTCATGGAGCTGTCCTCGTGGTTCTCTTTATCCTTAGTTGGCTGAGAATTTTATTACGATTGAAGTTTAATTCTGTCCAAGGAATTTCCTGTATCTACTGAAACAA